AGTAGTAGTAGTAGTAGTAGTAGTAGTAGTAGTAGTAGTAGTAGTAGATGCAGAAAACTTCCAGGTAGTAATCTGTCTCCATATCAGGTGAACATATTGGGTGAACAACCTGTCTGGCACCCCCCACCCCAAAAACCCACCTCACTCAACTCTCCCCCATTCCACCCCAGTGTGCGCAGACACTTTTCACCAAGCCGTGTCATTCACAGTATCATGTACCATCATAAACACCCAAAACACCCAAAGTTTATTTGATTTTAATACTCAAAAACTTGAAATTGAAGAAACTAGAAAAATACTAAAAACACAGAGTAAGACACATACATTTTATATTCCACAAATTTAAAAGTACACAATGCAAATACAAAAAAACAAACAAAAATAATACTGTAGAAATTTGATATTGCACCAATAGAAGAACCTTTAAGAAAACATGTATAAAACTATTGCACTTGGATCGACATAAATTTATCTGCACAACTGTCAAGAAGGTCTGAACTCTTTTCGAATAAGACAATTTACACCACTGGACTTCAAAGAACAGATTAAATTGTACAACTTTCATGTAAAGTCTTGCCCTTCTTTAAATAAGTAAATCTACACTATTAATTTCCAAACAAGAAATACAGATTAAACCTAACAACAACTGTCACCTAAATATTGACCCTTCTTGTCTTCCTTGATGTAATGTCATCCACAATGTCATCTCATGAAATCTGCTCAGCTGTTGTATGGTTGAAATACCTTAAAACAGCAAACAGCTAACAACTAAGACAAATACAAACAGGCATACACGTATGTCCAATTTGTGAAATATTCTGAATAGGAGCCACATCAACCCCTCTTCCAGTTAATGGCTATTTAACATGGTCTAAGCTGCATCCAATTATTGCCTTTAGTAATTATATTATCCTAATATTACATTCCCATGTAGTAGTTTAGTTTTAGAAGAATTTTAATCTTCAGAACGGTGATATTTTCTGCTGAAAACCAAATATATCATCCTAAGCAGCTAAACTAATTAATAGTAAGCCTATCTCGCAACAGGCTTTAGCCGACACAGCTGCATACCTTTATCTTTTTCTAGATTCTCCTTTTCTTCTTTTTTTTTTTTTTTCCCCTAAACTGGGAACCTGGTAGATTTGACCTTTTCTTGTCCATCTTCAATGTGTGTAATTGGCACTCGAGCAGAGAAGGTTATCACTGCCCATCCTTAAACATGAGTCAAAACAACTTGAGCTTAAACTACTTCACCTTCCTTGGTGTGCAGATTCATTTTGCATTATTATTATTATTATTATTTTCAGTAATTTCACACAGATATGTTGTGAACTATTGGCTATATTTCCTGATGCATGCTCAATAATCCAGGTAGGAAAATCTAAAAAAAATTAAGTCTGGTCCTCTGGACATTCAGAAAACAAAACAAACAAAACAAAACAGAAAAAATTAGAAACGTTTTGTCTGTCATCCGAAAGACTTCTTCAGTCAGCTCCTCAGACTGAAGAAGTCTTGCGGATGAAAGACGAAACGTTTCTACATTTTTTTTTTTTGGTTTTGTTTTTTTGTTTTTTGAATGTTCAGAGGACCAGACTTAATTTTTTTTAGATATTGGCTATATTCACATTATTCATTCATTCAACTTTTATTTATACAGGTTAGTCCCATTGAGCCTCGGAGACTCATTTGCAAGAGAGACCTGAATTATGATTATGACCTGGTTATGAATGAAATGTGGTTTGTTTGGAAGCAATAAATCATGTGATTTTCTTAGCGGTTAGACACATTCCTGTCCCAGCAAGGAAGACAAGAGAATCCCCCTCCCCACCCTTCCTTTGACAACCTGTGTGTCAGGCCTCAGTAGTAAGTTACATGTCCTGCACCTGGTGGAGGGTGCCCACTGCCCGCAAGTGTGGGACTGGAAAATAGATATGTAGCATAGACAGGTTATATGAAATTATGTGTTTTATTTATTCTTTTCAGAGGGGAGGGCAGGACCGGGCGCTCGTGCCGCTCTTGATGAGATGCCGCCCTGGGCAGCTGCCTATATTGCCCATATCAGAAACAGCCACTGCTCCATATAAAACAATGATTTATTGTCATTCAGATATTTTTCAAACCGCAGCTGTGGGTATCTCACTTGCTCTGAGTGACCTTTCCCCTCATTTGAATGAACACAAGTCTTGTATAATTTGAGTCAACCCCACCTACACCATTATGCTGCTAGAAATACTCAGAAGGCTAGTAAATTTGTGCCTTAAAAACAGTTTCCAAGAAATTTCTGCTTGGAAAGTTTTGCATATGATCTGGTTCAAGATCAATACATTTAAATTGTGTCACTTGCTTTTTATTTTGTGCTTTTCTTTTAATCAAATGCATATACAGTAGATTTTAGCTGTGCTTTATAGCAATTTGTTTGGAGTCATTAAGTTCTAATGCATGTGACATGAGCCTATAATGACAGGTTCACATATTCATAAAAAACTATCAATCCAACACAATTATTTACACTGGAATTGCTGCACTGCACTAATGAATGTCATGCAAGATGGGAACCTTTTATCTCCATTTGCTTTTGTTCTCCATAATTCATACATCAATGTTTTTATTTTATTGATTTATTTATTTTTATCTGTGACTGTGTGTCTGTGTATTCAGGTTAGGTTTGCTGTATGTGTTTATGTGTATGTGAGGTTTTATAGATTTGACTGTTGTCTTTTTCCTGAGAAATGAGCTCTTCTGAAATGTGGTTGCTTAAGGTATTTTCTCACTTCTTTGATGGAACATTATATAAAAAAAAAAATCTGCACATTGTCAGAATATGTAATGGAGTTAATTAAAAAAAACACACAATTGTATCAATTGTATTGTACACAATGACCCTGAATAGTTACATATTTATTTATTTATTTGATGTGCCATATTGTAGACGTTCAATATATAATTTTGGAAGTTGTACAGATGCCTTGTGATTGTTCTCATACTATTTCTTATTTATATGTAATGCACATTATGGTATTGACCTAGTGTGAGCATGTTTATTGGTTTGTGTTTATAATTTCATTTTGTAATTGCAGGACCAGCATATTGGTTTGGAAGTTACCATGAGATTAATGAGAACTTGTTGGAACTGTGACTGAACTGGCAGGTAAGGAGCAGACAACACAAAACAGACCATTCAATCTGAATTATCTCCTTCTTTAATAAGCAGGTTTAATCTAATATAGGACACAAAGAAAGCACCAAGTACAGTACCATGTTTTCGGTCATATAGTCACATCTTTTTGCATAAATTTGCAAGTCCTGCAAGTTATACACCAAAGTGACTAATGTACGTATTTTCCCCATATTCATAACACAATTTTTGGCTGCGATCTGATGATTTCATTCATTCTGACATGACAAATATTAAACATTACCATTTGCAAACGCTAGAGGGCCCTTGAGTGTTATGGCAAGCCAAGTGCCTCATTAATAGGCAAAAGTGGCTATTAATGAGACACTTGGCTTGCCATACAGCGACCTTTCTGTCGCTCCGGAAATCCTGGAGCAAATGTCAAATCAGCTTCTTTTTGCTGCGCCGCCCAGGCGAAATGCAGCTGATTTGACCATTAAAGTGCATTAATTAAGGAAAAGTTCAACTGAGACACACCTTTACTATAATGTCAAGCAAACAGATAATTGTTTTTTTTAGGTGGTTATCTTATTAAATTTCAAATAAATCCACAGCAAGCCCTCCATCTGCGCGCTCCAGCAGCTGCAAATCGATTTTTGAAATGCAGCTGGTTTGACCAATAAAGTGCATTTATTAAGGACAAGTTAAACTGAGACACACCTTTGCTATAATTTTGAGCAAACAAATAATTGTTTTTAAGTGTTAATCTTGTTAGATTCTTGTTAAAGTTCTCCCGTGTGTGCTCCTGTGGCCACCATTTTGGCAGCCATTTGATTTTTGGCTCAGCACCGGCACACATTTCTGTGTGGTCAGCGGTGACGCATAAACACACATCAGCGACAATGCACAATAGATGGGAATAATATGGTAAAGTGACTTATTTATGTTTTTTCCACTTTATTATACATTTTTGGACTGGTGCGACTTATATGCCAGAGCGGCTTGTACCGTGGAAAATATGGTACATGTGTGCTAGCTTTGTCATGTTATACTTTCGTTCTACAGTTTTACAAAAATAAGTCCCCCAAAAATAGTTCAGTGTGGGTATAAGAGAATGAACCTCTTCTTTTAAAATGAAATATTCTTATCATAATGACAAACTACTGTGGCAAGCCCAACTCTTAAATTGTTGGATTCAACACGCCCCATGGGTGACTAATTCATGTTTTCCTGTCTTCTGCACTGTGTGTGCTGGAATTACCATCCACACACTGAGCATGAAAAAAGACTTTGTGAGAGAAGTGTGAGAAGAGCTGAATTAATCAACAAGCAAATAACCTCATTTACCTTTTTAATATATTTTCCTCACAACTGCAAGACCTAGTTACTGAATAGCCATTACTAAGACATTGCTTACCATTATATGGCAATAAAGGCTAAACCAAACAGCAGCACAGATTTTTCAGTGAATGAGAAAGCAGGCCAATTATGTTAGCTTTTGAAAAATAAATCATATACCGTAACTTCACAAGTAAAACTTTCTTTAAAGGAAAAACATTTGCTTTCCTTGTAGATACTATCCAAGCACTATTCCTTTTTTTTATTATTAGTTTAATCCATGAAAACTGAATAAATTTTAGAACAGCACTCTTGAATTTATTTGACAGGCTGTTTAGGGTAATAATTATCTATAAATTTTAGGGTTATTATAATGGAGCATGGTGCACTGGGTCTTTTAAAGTAATCTCACTTTCTTGGACTGCTTTACGATCATCCTGAGCAATCATTGAACTTAATGACTCCCACAAGATAGCTAACCATGCTATTACACATCCATTACCATGATTACCAGGTTACAGTTGTTTTGTGGGTCAGGAGGTTTTTAGCTAAAGGAGCAACACATATTGATCTACTTTAAAGTTGGTCTGGACTAGTTTTCTTGCAGTCTTTATAAATAAATGTTTAAAACAATTGTATTGTGTAGAATGCCTGGAATTGCTCTGGAGAGCTAAATTGTGTGTTTAAAAGGCAAGACATTTGTATTGTTTGCTCCTTTTTTTTCAAATCTGAAACAATAAACGTCATACAAATTCATAGTTTTCTGCAAATGTTTTATAGTCACTTCATCTGACATAGCGTATGATGTATAAACATATATATATATATATATATATATATATATATATATATATATATATAAATGAGGGGATTTTATACATTTCTCTAACATACAGTTATATTTTAGGAGTTAATAATATTTAGAAATTGAAAAAAAAATCCTATATTACATTAATAATAACATTTTTAAGCAAAAAAACAAATTCCTCAAATTGTTATTTCGCCCACTGCCACTTTAGTTTTGTTTCGGCTGTTCCCTTCTTCAGGGGTCGCCACATTGAGTGAACTTGGACAAAGATTTGTTAGTTATTTTAATGCTGGATGCCCTTCAAGATGCAACCACTAACCACCTAGCTACCACAGTCTACTTGTCTGGAGCAGAGGATTGTCATCTAGGGCACCCAGAGAGAAACTTTGGGGGTTAAGGGCTTTTCTCAAGGGTTGAGAGTGGGGCAAATGAAGGTGGAGGCAGATCTGGGTGCTTTACTTATCCTACCCACGTTTTGATGTTACTGCTAGGAGGATTTGAATTGGCGACCCACCAATCACAGGCTCGCCTTCTCTAACTTTTGTCCCACCATGCCCGCCAACTATTTCCAACTGGCATGAGAACATTCAATCTAAAGAAAACATTACATTTAAATAATCAACACTCCAAGAATGGGGGGATTTTCTACAGGTATTCCAATTACATTGCTCAGGCAAACAAAATGTATATCAGGTTGTCCAACTCATTTATTTATGTTACCTTGTAATGGACTGGCAAGATGTAGATAGGAAACAGCTCCCTGAAAGAAAAAGCAAGTAATTAAAACAAATAAAATAAAAAATAAAAAATGGATATGAAATAACTTCTAATGTTATTAGAAAAGAAAATTGTTAAAATAAAATTTCAATTTTAGTTATTTAAGCTATGTATTATTTAATGATTCTAAGCACCGAGGTTCAACATAAATTATTAAAGCAACTGATTAATTAAGATTATTAACATCATCATTTGACAAATAAATAAATAAATTAAAAAAAATAGATGAACCAACTATCACTTCCACCAGATTTTCCATAAAAAAGTCAAGACATTTTGTTTTGTTTCTTTGTTTTTAAACTATTTTATTTGGTGACCTTGCCTTAGTAAATTGTAATTGAGTCTTTTGGAGCCAGGTACCAGACATTTGGTTCTTTTGAAACTCTGTTGGTTCCCTTTAAAAGCTCAAACACAAAAGTGATGTCTGTCAGACCTTTATAAAAGCTAAATGGCATTCAGCTTATTTGATATGACTTGCATAAATAGTTGCTTTTGTGATTCACTCACTTCAAAGCTTCCTTCATGTGGTATTTAACTGGATTGCTCCACCCTTTTTCTTCATCCCATTTGGGGCTGGAGATAGGATGTCTTCATGGAATCATACAGAAATAAATAGTGCTTTGGACTCAATTGGCTTTTTTTAAATATCATTTTACATATTTTTGTTTTTAAGGTAACTTGTAACATCCAACTTCATATGTGTATTCACAAGTGATGGTGTTATTCAGTGTAAAATGTTTTAATTTTAAAGCAAATGCAGATTTACTCCATGCCTCCTTACAAAAACACTCAGTCTGACTAGTGTTGTTTAATTACAAAATAACTTGATGGATTAAAACAAACAGGAAGAATGTGTACAAATGTTATGAATTAAATACTATTTACCCTTGTGCTTTAGTATAAATGTATGTTTTCAGGGAAAATAAAACAGTTTTATTTTATCAATAATGTATTAATGTGAATTTGGACGGCTTAATGTGATTATGTGTTTATGTGTTAATTAATGTGAATTGGGCGGCTGTGGCTGAGTGGTTAGAGCAGTCGTCCTCCATTGCAAGAGTTGGGGGTTTGATTCCACCAGCAGTCACATGCCAAAGTGTCTCTAGGCAAGACAATGAACCCCTCATTGCCTCTGATGTGTGTCCCATCAGTGTATGAATGTGATAAAGCACTGATTTTTCTTTGTACAGAAATAGTAAAGTGCTTTATGAATGGGTAACTGAGGGCACAGATTGTAGTGTAAAGCACTTTGACTATTTTGATAAGATAGAAAAGCCCTATATGCCGGTAAGTGAGCTCCATTTACCATTTACCATTTCAATTTGAATGATAATTTTAAACAGTGACATATTTACCACAGGAAGTGTGCATGAACAGACACACAAAAAGGGTAACAATGTTAGTTAACCCCCAAAAATCACTTCACTGTGTTAAAATCATTGAAAGATGACATCATCTCTGAGAAGCTTGTTTTCACAACTTCCACTCCCCACACTTGCTCACACACAGAGAAATGTTTTGTTCAACTTAGTTGAAAAAATAATACTAATTAATTATTTAAAAAAGTCAGGTAAATCAACACCTTGAAAAAAATAAGACTAGCTTCACCTTCATTCGTTGCAACAGGTTTGTTAAATCAATTTATTGTGCACTGAACCACCAGAGACCCAGCACTCTCATTGTCCTCATAGAATGTATTGTATTCACAATTTGTCAACATAAATATATTATATATGTATCTTTTTTTTTTTTTTGGACATCCACCCTTTTTTCAGCAAACATTATAGTAAAGTTATTTTTGTAATATGATGATGTCATATGATTCATGTGGCTGGCAAATCCAAACTTCCTCTTAAATATTCAGCCGCATGTCGTGCTGGCCCACACTGTTGTTAGGTGTAGTTGTAGGAGGGTTTAGGTCTGTTCTTGCAAATTTGTTGTCCGAGGTCTAACTCGGAAAGGCGAGAGTTTTCAAAGTTTGAGATGCTTTTTTTGACCTTTGAGCACCGAATTGATAATCTTTGAGCAGCATCCTCCCACTTGTTGGTGGCCAAACTACACCAGTCAGATTATGTTTGAATACGTCCTTATAGCAAAGGTACTGCCCGCT